TGATCTAGGATGGCTCGCTTCAGAATGCGTTCCATCACCTTGCACGGCACGCTAGTGAGGCTTACAGGCCTATAGCTGCCAGGCGATAGTCGGTCAACAGTTTTGTATATGGGCGTGACAATCGCTTCCTTCCAAGCAGAGGGAAGGCGGCCTTCGTCAAGCGACTGACGAAACACCAAGTGTAAATGGTTTGCCAGTGTGGAGGACGTTTCTTTCGGGATCCTTGGATGGACCTCGTCGATGCCCAACGCGCAGAATGGGTTGATTTTGTGCAAGAGTTGACGAATGTTCTCCACCGTGAAGACCAAGCTGGTTAGGGCTGTTCCTAATTCCGCCTTGACAAGAGTGGATGTGATGAGGACGTGGGGGCTGAGTATAGACATGCATAATGTTCTCTGTAAGCCTCAGATAGCACTGTTGGGTCATTTGTCGCTTCTCCGTTTCTTCCCTCAAGGGAGAACGCGAATGGCTTGTTTCTGCGGCGATGTCTCATCTACTTGAACAGTACGTTTTTGTTATTTCGAGTGAGGTCCAGAATGGTGGTTTGTTTTTGTATGTTCCATTGGCGGATTTCTGATTTACAGCGGTTCCGCATTTTACGAAATGCCAGCTCATCTTCTGTGTCCCCTGTGGTCAACTTTTTGAAAAAGAGCTGGGATTTTTTTTCCAGAAGTCGGCGAATCCTTTTGGTAGCGTGCGGTTCACGCGAGTGCCACAAACTCCTGGTTAATTAGCTTTTCGAGTAGCCAGACTACTACAGCGTAGTTTCTAGAACATTCAGTGAATGATTTCAACTTCAGATCTATCTCCAAGTTGCGTACATTGTAAGTGATTCATGTTTTACTGCAATTGGCGTAATCTATTCACACCAGTGGTGAATGATGACTTTGAGGATTTAGTGAATTAGACAGATCACCAATGAAGAAATTTGCAGAATAATTCATTATACATGGACAGTCCACATCATGTAGTGGTAACCCTGATAATATAGCAACTTATTATATTGTGCGAATACTGAGCGGCCCACCAGCCAACTGCGATGCCCCGTTGGCCGAAACTTCAGTTAAGCAATTGAGCCTGTTCTGACAAATCATATGCTTAGGTTTGGCTTGTGCGTGGGTCGACTCTCGTGATATGATGGATGAGCTCGGATTTGGTGAAAAAATCGGGGATTCAAGATTGACCCAGCTGGAGTTGGATATAATAAGTTGTGGGAAAAACTCAATGGTTGGCAAACGTACTGCTTGACTCTATCTCGTCTACTTGCATTACAGTTCGAGCAGGCCATGCACAAATGCATTCAGCTCTTAGCAGTTAGCAATGTGCAAATCGGTAACAGGTCCTTGGCGAAATCTCAATATTCCTGTTTCGTTGGCTTCGGATATTTAATCTTCCGTGGATCTGGTAAGCAATTTTATCAATACTCATTGCAGCGCAAATAGTGGGTTCCAGTTCTGAATAACAATCTAGGGATGACGGAGAGCTCACAAGCTCCATAATCCCGGAGAGTAGGTTGGTAACCTCTCTGTCATTTGTCGTTGCACAGTGGTAGGGAACCTTGTTCTTGTAGCTCAAAATCTTTGTGATTCAGACCATGTAGTGCAACTTTTGCTGAAGCGACTGTTCGGAGAAAAGATTCAAAAATTTGGGGCGGACTACAGCCGCTATATACATATTTGTGAAGCACAACAATTATGGAGACAATTTTACCTGAAAAATACGATCACATGAGAGTTTGGCGGAAGTAAACGACTGAAAAATATAGTGTGGTTACAAAATGACCCGGGGGCGAGTTGGACCAAGCAGTTAGATTGTGAATTTACTGACCCGAAGGTTCGTGGTTCCAACCCGACCTCTGCCTCTCGACTTCCCCTGTCTTGGCTTGGGCAACTTGGTAGTATCCCAGCCCTCGTGCTTCCTTCAGGTGGCATGGCAGCTATGCACCGCTGAACGATTTTTAAGGGACCTCAAAGAGATTTTAACATTCGAGAAGTTGATCGTGTCAGTGGCTGTGGTTCTAGGCAACGTCTTCTTTGTCCTTCAGTGATGAATAATAGTCTCATTCCTTGCATCAGCCAAGGAGTCTACATATCAACTTTGGATAAGTCAGCCATCAATATCCCTATGATCCTTATCCATAAAGTGTTAACCTCCTCTCTTTTTGATCTGCACCCAGTTGCATTAACATATTTTACAGGGGCAATTCTTTCCTCGATACATTCTATAACGGGCAAGCGCTTGTCGCCTAACCAGGAGCCCGGAAACCAGTTCAGTGTCAATTTCAGTCCCACAGGCCCTAAAACTTATTACAAGCTTTTGTTCAGGTACTATGTCAAAACCCCCACTGAGTTCGATGATTACCGTGTAGATCTCATGTCATAAGAACTACGAAGCTTTGTTCTTCCTGGCTGCGAGTAGGCTGATCGAATCTTATTGACCGCAGCGGAACCCATTTTCGCTTGGGGGTAACCGAGTCTTCTTGAAGTGACTTTGCACGCAGCCATAAGTGGTCTTGTCCATGGCAGCACAAGCCAGACGTAAGATGATCGCCCGGCATTTCAACAGGGGGTATGCTGCCAGGTTTGTAGATTGAGCACTGACTACCGTGGCTTTATATTGGTTAGGAAGCTTTCAGCTTTTGAGGAGGTTGTAAATAACACCAGAGGAGCCGAAAAAACGTTCATCAGTTTCCTTGTTTGAAAGAAGTGGTTACCATCTGGCTTATAATATTACCCATATTTCTGGATAGGCTTACGCTCAGTAACAGCATCTTACATGCTCTGTGGCAAAGGGGTTCCTTGCGTACCGTGTGGCGTAAACCAGGACGCAGTTACTGAAAAAGATTACTGCTTTATCGTCGTTTGACTTACATTCCCTTGCAGGAAGAGGGGAGCAGTGACATGATTATCTTTTCATGTGCAACAGCATAGGTGAACATTTAAGCTCACAGATTTACGGATTGATTCACGGGATCGAGGCTTTCATCCAAGTTTTCCGGGCCGGTTTTGTTTTTATCCTTCAGCGAATGCCGTTCAGCTGAAAGGCATAAGCGAAAAAGGTGCTCAGCATGGGACAGTAAGCTTGCTCGTAAGAGGATTGGCTTAACAGAACATCCAATAATATGTTGAACTGGGTACTAGATGAGGCGTAAACAACCGCCGGAGGAAGGTTATTCCGCACACCAACTACCCAAAATATCAAGAGTATTTTACCTAATAAAAGTGTGCTTTCTGAGCTTGGAAAATCTTACCACGTCCTTGCTATATGTTAGCTGGGTCAACAGTGGAAAACCTGTTGGCCAAAGCTTGTTCGAACAAGGCATAAGTAAGTATTGGGTCTCCTTGAAGGCGAAGATACTCCATCGCAAAGAGGTCAAGCACCACTAGACGCGTTTTGTAGTCTACGGATTTAAGGCTGACAGCCATTTTCGTAGCAGCTCGTTGGACGCGCTCAGTAAGGGTTACCTCCTTTCGTCTTGAGTAGATAACTTGGTTGCCATATTTAAGAAGCGGTCTGACGTAGGCCACATAGAGTATTTGGGAGTCCATGCGAGTAATATCGGAGGTGCGCCGAACCATGCGTAGAATGGCGATTGCCTTTTAAGGCGCTTTCTCATGATGCAGTGAGATGGCGTTTGAAGACAGCCAGATACTCAAATCCCTTTTGGCATCTATTCTCGTGATGTCTTTGGTCCGTTCCCACCATTCATGACAAAGGCGTTCGCTGAGTCCCCTCCGAATGATATATGGACGCACGTTTCGCCATTCAGAGGAAGGTGCCAGTCCAACGGCCACTGATTCGCAGCGTCTACATCCATTTGGATTGTATTGGCTTTTGAGCTCCAGGATTTCAGGTCGTCCGCAACAAGTAGACATGAACACGAAAGAACGTTTGGAAGATCGTTGACGTTGATCAGAAACATTATTAGTCCCTAAATTGAGCCTTCAGGAACTCCAATGGAGACCTGCGCCGGAGAAGTGTAGGTCGAGCATACTTTTAATTGGAATGGAGTTTGTATAGCACCGGGATGTGTGGAACTCGATCGAAAGCTTTTGAGAAGTCGAAATATATTGCATCGGATGTAAGCCCCTCATCCTTAGCTTGGGTTAGCATTCAGCTGTAGCACCCCTTTAGAGCCTGATTGCCATACCACCCGGAGATTGCACGAGGGCTGGGATACTGCCAGGTTGCCCAAACCTAGACAGGGGAAGTCGAGAGGCAGAGGTCGCGTTCTAACCACAGACCTTCGGGTCAGTAAATCCGCGATCTAACCACTTGGGCCATCTCGCCCCCTTTGGGGTTAGCTGTCCATAAAAATGAACATCTTCCTCACGCAAGAACGGTTTGGGGGAAATCCGTGTTGAACTGGAGATATTAATTTGTTGAAAGTCGGGTAATCCAGGATGACCTGCTTTAGAATGCGTTCCATCACCTTGCATGACACCAATACGGCTAATTGGCCTGTAGCTGCGGGGCAATAGTCGGTCACCAGTTTTGCAGACTGGTGTGACAATCGCTCCCTGCTCCTTGAACTCTGCTGCAAGTACCTTTTTGGTCCTGGCATTCAGCAGACTCCATCGTGAAAAGTCCATCCACATCTCTTTGAATTCTTCCACTTTTTAAAACGATGCCAAATGTGTTTACGGGATTTGATTGCTCCACAGGATGGGATTTTCGAGTGAGGTAGAACCTAGTGTAACCACACCTAAAGTGACTTCAGGATGCGCGTCCATGAATTTTCTTTCCCACTGGACAACACTCAACGGCGCACTGACGATGAACGTTATCCGGTCCCCATATTCATGTACTTCTAAGTGTGTGAGGGTGCATGGTGAACTCTTTAAAGGCTTCCATACAAAAAGTGGTGCCCGACAACAACGTCCACTATTCCTTCTTGTTCAGCGTCGTCGTTGATGAGATACTGAAGTGAACGTTGGAAGGCCTTCAAATACCCGGTGTTCAAATCGTTGTTCATATCGGTGAGAGCATTGTTGGTCCGGGGATACACAGACCATATCGCCCTCGTCGTTGAAGAAGGCGCAGCACAAGCTCTGTCGAATAAACTGACCACTGTCATGCCATCTTTCGGCATGTGCCTAGCACCATCAAAGTGAAAAGTCACCCTTCAAAACGTACGGCATCTGAACGTACCCCTTGCATTCCAAAGAGGTTGTGGAGAATTTTTACGTACCTCGGTAGTTGTATTAGCTCGGACGGAATTGTGTCTAATGACGTCAGTGTATAAACCTCAAAAGCCAGAATCACGTTTTCTAACTAGTTTTACTTGTGGCGTTAAAACGGCATTTCACTGGGTCTCCTAGGCCGCGCGTGCCAGGCCACAGTAATGCCTGTGTTGTTGTTTGGTTGCAAAATATGGCCTCTGCGGACAGATAATTTGGGGCGTCCTCAGGTTTTTTACCACCAGTGCCTCAGTAGTGCTGATAACGAACAGCGTCAACGAATTCTTAACAGAATAACTAGAAAGCGGGTGCTCAGGTGTACAGCAGGTACTTTAGTCACGGAAAACATCCAGAGCCATCAACTGCGGTGACTCAGCCATGTGATACGCATTCCGAAACACCCTATACCGAGACGAGTGTTGTTCTTCATTCCTATTTCAGAACGGCGCAAACTGCGAGATAGGGCTGTGTTGTTGGTGCGAAGGGTGGAAACGAGCCACTGGAGGTCAAAAAATGACTTGACAGCAAAGTATGAAAGCCATTACCAGCGAACAGCTGCGCTGATCATCGTCGTCTCCCTGGATGGGGATCCCGGGATGGGACACATCAGTGGTTAAGGTCATTGTTATAGTGTAGTCACACGCTCAATGGCACTCTTGCATCCAAACTATTGTCTTCAATGCATAGCTCCCCTCCCAATCTCCCCAATTAAAACCCCCGACGATCCTGTATTTGCGCACTAATTATATCAGCTACCACCTCCAATCCACAGCTATTTACCTCACCTCCCCAAATCATCGGTGAACGAAACTGTTGCAGCTAGAACCACAGTGCGATAATTACATGTGATGATGGTGATTCCATCAATATGAACCTTTGAATAAGTCCATCCGAATTCCAGGAAATGGTGTTCGTTGATGTTGTCGATGTTATCCCACGCATAGTCGCCCTAAGTGATGCTTATCCTGAGAATGCATCAGTGCCATAGATCGTTGCCGTCTGGATATCCAATGCCTGTTGGTCAGCTGAGCAACTGGCCTACTTGATTGTTCAGGTCGTCACTGTTTTATTCTGAAGGACATTGATACATACGCTGCAGGATCGCTCAAGTGGTTTTCTGGGATGGGGATTCTTATTCATTTGTTTCTTCGTGGGTGACCATCGTGGTATTTGGCATAGTCATCGGTCTCGTCATTCCTCTGTTCAGAAAAGTTTGTTGTAAAGAGGAAACGGCTTTATCAATCATTGGTTTAGTGATAGACGTTTTCATGATTAAATTAAGTTTGTGTTTTGTTATTATTCCCACCTTCAATAAGCCTTTGCCGCCCAAGCGGAGTTTCATGCAGATATAGCTCGATCTATATTCGTGAACAAAGCAACCGATTTCCGTGAAAATGCAGACTCCAACCATGCAACTTCTAAGGATGATAAACCACCCGAGCAGACGCTGTTGCTGATCATGTTACTCACGCATTATACGCTGGCGAAGGCACGAACAATACTGAAGCGGTAAGTTGCGGTGAATCTTCGGCAAACATTCGTTTTCGTATATAAGGACCCTAGAAAAAAGGAAATAGACACGAGTTTCTTGATTCTTGTCACATGTGTGGAAGGATTTTTGCAATAGTGCGATTTTGAGTCCACTTGAGTGTTAGAGGTGGCGAAGCGTTTGGGGAATGTTGATATCCTGCTAACGGAATTGAAAGCTAAAATTTCGCGAAATACACTTTTGCAGTGGAAGAGTCGACTAAATGCAGCTGAACGTCTCATTTATACTATTTGCAAAGATTCACTTGAATCTCACGTTAAAATTGAACTGGTACATTTCACACACTAGGTACGATTTCATCACCATCACCTGTCAGAACCGTGTACTTGTCATGCAGTGGTCAAAGATGGCACAGTTCCGTTCACTGATGATTTGGAGAGGTGGGGTAGGTAGCTGCGCATTGGAGGCAGGAGATGACATAATTGATGCGTAAGTAGGGATTATCAGTGGACTTTTTAGCTGGTAGATTGTGCGGAAGGAACCCTTTGAAGGAGTCGGTCGACTGGCACACGGAGCACGTGGCCAAGCCAGGGCAACCGATTCAGGCTAATCAGTTCCTCAGTCGTGGGTACGTTATTTCCTCCGAAAACTATTCGACTTGTTTCAGCATTGCTGATCCGGTGTTCTCACCAGGCTCGGGCAATGCCCCAAAGACATCAATGGTCGAGCACTGAGAGTCTTTTCACGTCCTCAGGTTTCTGACCCGTATCGTGATATGGAGCGCAGCGCAATATTGTGGACTCGACCATTGAGGATAAGCTGATGTCATGCTTATGCCACAGGTGACGTAGGTTCGCAAAAGCTGCTCTGGCCCTCCCAATCCGGATGGAAATGTCATCTTTAATGAGACTACCGGGACTGATACAGCTGCCCAGGTAAACAATTTTGTGTACTACCTCAATCGGTTCATCCGCCAGCGGGAGGCTAGGGTTCGAGCCCACCCAGTCTTGCAGTAGCACATTACACTTTGCAGGCGTGAAGCGCGTGCCAAACAGTTAGGCAGACTTACTTAGATTATTTAATATCGTTTGCATTACGACGGCATCAGATCCAAGAAGTGCATTGTCTGCGTACTCGATCGCTTTGAGCGGCCGCCCAGGAAGCACTTCGACCCCACAGGAATTAGAAGCTGATAGTGAGTCTTCTGTTATCGTATTAATGACGAAGTTGAAGAGGAAAGATGAAAGAGGACAGCCCTGTCAGACACCGCTTGGTGTGGTGAACTCAGGCGCGAGCTCCCCGTAGACCTTCACACGGCCGCGGGAGATGGCGTACAGCGCCTTAAGGAGGGTCAAGAATTTACGGAGGATACCTTTGCTCCACAGACATTGCCATAGTGCCTGACAGTCCACAGAGCCAGCGGCAGCATTCAGATCAAGAAACACAACCATTATTGATTGCTGGAAGCGGTGTTGCTGTTCCAGAATTTGTCGGAGGGTGAAGATGTGATCAATACATCCTCTTGCAGGATGGAACCCAGCTTGGTTTTCACGAATGTCTCTCCCTGTGTTCAGCCAACCTTTGAAGGATGAGGCCAGAGAGCGCCTTCGATGCCACAGCTAACAGGCTGATGCCGCGGTGGTTTTCACACAGCGTCCGCGTACCCTTTTTAACGATGGGGATAACGGTCGACATGTCCCATTCTGCAGGCACCTCCTGTTCGTCCCATATGGTATTATTAGTGTTCTCTCCTGTTAAAAACAAAAGCCACTAGATAAATCAGAAGGCTAGAAAGCGACACTAGTAAAATTTGTTATAAGAGTGTTAGGTTACAACACCTTAATCGAGTCGAATACAATACCAAAAATGGAATGTACAAATGAGGGACTTATGGTTCTGAGCGGAAGTTACAGTAGTTCCACCGAGTTGGTTTGGCGAAGGTAATCTTTCGGCAGATTCACTGCTACACGTTCCTAGTTGTCCGCGGTTGTTGTTGTGTCGAGCCGGTCTGTGTTCCGACGCGCGAGCAATGCGTGTGTGTGCTTGATTGTGTTCTATCCTTTATATAGGTCGTTGCAATGAGTGGGGCTTGAAAACAACGTGAAATCACCTGGTGTCGTTCAAAAGGTCATGGCACGGGAGTTGACATATTGTCGTATTCATGTCACGATTTCGACGCGTGATTGTGAGACAGACGAAGTGGAATGGGGGGGTAGTAGGTACCGGTGATAAATTGATTAGAGGAGTAATTAAGCAAAGGGTAAGCGTTACAAATACTCCTCTCTTTAGAGAGGGATCACCTAGGCACTGTCATCAATCCAGACAAGTCACGTCTTGTCTGGTGGTGCACGTTGTGGGATGTGGAACAAAACAAAGCACGAGGGAGATAGTGGATGTGGATGCACTCACCAGATGGGCAACCGCTACAAATACTCTCCCCCTAACGAAAAGGAACAAAAATAATAAATGGTCGCTTGGACGTTCGATGTGTCACAATGTGATGAAATAGATGATGTCAGCTTGCGATGAAACGGTCTGGCCAGTGTACGTGTCTGCCATAGCGTGTGATTCGTGAAGGTGTGCTCTTGGAATCTGTGTCTGATGGAGTCTTGGATATCGTCGTGGAATTTTCGGGCTTGTCGTTATCTGTAGTGCAAGGATCGAGAAAATCCATGTAAGCTGGTTTCAAACGGTCAATGCTTATGTTATCCGTTCTGTTGTGTAACTGTACTGTAAAATGTTTCTGATGTCTAGCAAGCACTGGAAAGGGGCCGTTATACGGAGGTTGTAAAGGATGTTTGACCTGATCAGAACGCACAAAAACGTATTTGCATGAGGAGAGATCAAGGGGAATATAGGGTACTCTGTTTGACAATGGTGGTGAGTGATAACGAAGGCGCGACATATGTGCTTTCAACTGCGTGACGTAGGTCAACGTATCACCGGGAGGACTAGCTTCAGATGAGAAAAACTGTCCTGGAATTCGGAGTGATGTACCGAAGACTAGCTCAGCTGGTGTGCATTGTAGTGTTGAACGAAACATAGTGCGTAAGTGAAGCAGTGTAATGGGCAACAGATCACTCCAGTTGCTAGGTTGCTGATGAGCCTTGATGGCGGTTTTTATATGTCTGTGGAAACGCCCAACTAGACCGTTAGCTTGCGGATGATAAGCGGTGGTGCGGATGCGCTTGCATCCTAGAAGTTCGGTTAGTTGTCGAAAAAG